ATAGCCTCCTATATACTTTCAAAAGTATATAGGAGGCTATGGCCATACGCATCCGCCATGTTTTCGCCCCCGCCGCGCTTGTTGGGCGCGTTCACGCTGGAGAAGTGAAAACAAAACGAAAACACCAGAGCGGCTGGAAAACCACGACCGCGCGCGTCGAACACGTGATCAGTTCCATCCCGCCCTGCTGCCGTCACTACCTTGACAATTAATTCAATTTTGTTGGCTTTCTGAGAACTAAAGTTCGTACTGAATTCTAGTTATTAACGCGAAGTATTGAAAAGAAACAGCTCACACCTTTTCAAGCGTTGTTTCGGGAGATACTCTAACAGGAACGGCACCAGCGTCGTGTTTCATGTTTTACGTGTACGCGGCGCCTGCTGGCTTGTAGACCATCCGATTCGTCACAAGTCCCGCAATATTGCTGCATGCTGCGTGCCACACAGTGCACGGACTATTCTAGAAATGCATCTAAGGTGTTTTCTTTCCCAAGCTACTCTAAAACGAAACTTTATTGACAGTGAGAATAAAGAGTTATAAGTGGCAGCCGACGAATCGCGTGTATTGAAGTAAAGTGGTGAATTGGGCTATTTGGTAATGCATTTTTAAACTTCTCAGCGCGAAAACATCCGACAACTAACACAAGAGACGAGGGCGAGCGCAGATTTTCAACTAAATTTATTACTTCTACGGCGCACATGTATATGTTAAAAAAAAGACAATAAGATCACTTGCTTAGCAGAAACCCCCCAAAAACAAAAACACAAAAGCAAAGGTCAAAAGAGACTGCGAGAAACCACTTGCTCACCCCGTACCATCACTTGCCGAGTTTAAAAACGCCAATTCTTTTTCAGATAACGCTATTGATGGTTTGCTGATGCAGCTGCCTCGAGCGATTGCTGCAGCTTCGATTACAGGTCTTGCGCCTTCGTTAGGGTGGGACGTGAGAACCCTTGTCTTTTCGAACAATGGGTGGCACCCACATACGGAACAATGAGCGGCTAAGGAACCGTCCCGTCCTGCATTTCTTACTTTCTGGCAATGTTCCTGAAGTCTTACATTATGGTACCTGCGTTGCTGACCTACGTACTCAAGTCCACAAGACTGGGGTACACTATAAACAATCTCTGTTGCACACTCAACAAACTTTTTTTCGGTGCTTAATCTTGCAGCTGCTCCCGGTGGTTCCTATGGGACTAGTTCGAACAGATAACTGAGACAATTTATGTGGTGTGGAAAAAACCACTGACATGCCCGCTCTTTAGCCTATTTTCTTGAGTTTATGCGAGATACCATGCAGATATGGTATCACCGCCCCCCTTCTTGTAAACCGTCCCCATAGTTACCTACTCTTAACTGTCTGCGCAGCTTCTCACTAGCAGAAACTAGCAACGAACCGAGATAGCCTGCTGCCTCTAGACGGATAATCTGCCTGTCGAAACTTCGCTGCACTGAGTGGAAGCAAGATTTCGTTAAAGCGTTATGTATGCATGCTTTTACAATTTTTCGCTTTACCAGTTTGCTGTGAGAAAACGCGTACGGCAAAAGGGGTTTCTTCCACCGTGGCTTATACGTCCAACAAACGTGTCCAGCTGAACATGTTAGTATCAAATCTAAAAACCTCAGGGAACCGTTTTCGGCAGCTCATGCGTGAGAGAAAGTGGTTCAAGGCATTCCTGGAACACTTGCAAAACCTGCTGATAGCTCTCATCAAGGACATCTCATCAAGGACATCTCAGCTCTCATCAAGAATCGTGTATGCAGCGTGAATATTGCAAGTTTTGTTGCTATTATCTATCACCTACCCTTTGCTACGTCGGTACTTGGGGGACGATTTTCGAAACTGCGTAACACGTAATACTCATATAGCATCCCGAATGAAGATTTTTTAGTGGTGCCCGGGCAACCGTATACACTGCGAAACCCTAGTCTATGATCACAGATACGCAACGTTTTTGTTATAGAAGCCAGTTATTAGTGCAGTATACACGTGTAATGCTTATTTCGCTGACTGATAGATATGAAAACGGCAGCACCATATGAGCTATGTGAAAAAAAAAAACTCCGCGAAAGTCGTAGTGTTCCTACGACTCGATGGCTGAAGTTGCGAAATATCGAAAGGTGAAACGAATGCGGTGAATAAAACAAAACGAACTTATTTAATGATACCAATAAAAGGGGACGTCCGCGCAGCTCAAATGGTTTGCTAGCGACTGGTCACTACCCTTGATCCCTTTCCCTTGATCTTGGGAAAGTAGCGACACTCTCCTCCACGCGCGCGTTTCCTCCTCGATTCTCCTCGCCAGCTTGCCGTACGCGCGGCGCACGGCGCCATTTTTCGCTGACGCTCCCGCGGGAGCGCCGCAGAATTAAATGAAGGCGGGTTATTCGCGGCAGCTTGCGCGCCACAGTTGTGCTGAAATTGTTTTATATGGTCATAACAAAGTAGAAAAACACTGAGGCAACCGTTTATTAAATAATTAGCTTCTTCCAAAGGTTGTATAAGTGGAGCATGCTAATTAAATAAAAGTTTTTATGGGGCGCTCTACGATGCGGATTTTTTTTCTTCCGCATGATAACAAGCTCTACGATTGCATCTGATGTAGTTTCGCTTGTGGCATGTCCGTGTGTGTTCGGATTTTTTTTTGTGAATGTGCGCCAGTATATGACACAGGTACTTACAGTGTCACATATTGCAATGACTTCGTGGATGGCGGGTCATTTAGCCATGTGTTCATCTTCTCGGCGTGAAAGTAGCTTTGCGCAGTGATCTCCAAACTTAGGAAGGCTAATGAGCAATGCCAATACGATTAAGTGTCGCCAACAGTGAATTATATACCACTATAACAGAAACATAAGCAAATGATTACATAAAACTGTGATTTCACGTTTTTGTCAAAGAAACTAGTGATCGGGTGACTTGTGAGAGGAGAAACTCTGCGTAAGTAATGTCACCATAATCTGCACGTCGATAGCGACCAAAAGATTTTATACGGACTGACTGATGCCACTCAGAAGTACCCATGTGACACTGGTATAAAATGATTTATTGGTTTGTGGGTTTAACCCCCCAAAACCACCACGTAATTATGAGAGACGCCGTAGTAGAGAGCTCCGGAAATTCGGACCACCTGGGGTTCTTTAATATGCACCCAAATATGAGCACACGGGCCTACAGCATTTTCGCCTTCATCGAAAATGCAGCCGCCGCAGCCGGGATTCAATCCCACTACCTGTGGGTCAGCAGCCGAGTACCTTAGCCACTAGACCACCGCGGGGGGGCTCACTGGTGTAAAATATAATATAGTTGCTTATTGGGGAATAGAAGACATATTAATGCAGGCGTGACCAAAACGATTGCGGCCACGGTCTCCTAGAAAACGGCTCAGTCGCTATCACCGTGCTATGGCCTTTTTTTTTCGTTGCGCCTCTGTATTTCTTTTTTTTTGATGAACCGCATCTCTTTCATGATTTTCGTGTGTGAATTCACCCCTAAAACAAATAACAAAATAAATACCCTTATATAAACGAGTGTCAATTAGTGTAATCTCTATTCATCTACTCATTTGTTTTCTCCAACAAACGTTCTCGGAAACGAATCGTATACAGCCACAAAAAGCGCGTTCGAGAAGCTGTGTCATTCCACGTAATTGTTCGCAGCGAAATCAAACTACAGTAGTGCATTTTATACGATTACTGAGGTGCATGCGAGCTGAAGAAGTAAGAGCTGAGTATTTTTATTTATTTATTTATACTGCAGACCAGCATTTTGGTCCAGGCAGTAGGGACATAAGAAACATCAAGTGAGTCGTAACAGAAAAAAAAACATGTATCCATGCGCTAACAGAAGTCACATGTCTGTGAAACAGCAACAAAATTTATAACACATTTGAACACTATAATCACCTAGTAGATAACGTTCCAGCGGCATAGCAAAATTGTCAGCCGAAAAAAAATCTGATGAGGCAGTGAATCGCATTCATCAACTGTTCTGGGAAAGTAACTGTATTTGTAAGCATTAGTTCGCACAAATATGGGGGCCAAGAATCCATCATGCTTACGGCGGGTATTTCTAGCAGTGACTGGCTGAACGTAACAAGGTACATTTGGGGCAACTTTCCCGACATAATTTTGTATAAAAACGTTAAACAATTCTACTGTCCTTTTGTTTCTAACAAAGAAATTCAGCATATTGATGACAACTTCACTTTGAAGCAACGCACGAATAGCCTATAGAAAAAAATCATAGCATGTCCATGGGGTGAATGAGGACGAGTGGGGCGAAGCGTGTGGACGGACGGATGAACGGCCATCCGTCCGTCTGTCCACCCACTCATCACGCACGCTTCGTCCCACTCATCATCATTCACTCCGTGGATATGCTGTGAAACTGTTTTTATTGACATCTAATGCAATGCAACTGGCTACTACGATGACTACGACGACACGGGACATACGACTCTCGGCGTAAGGAGCTTCACCCCTAGAAAACACGTGTGTTGATGAGCAGGCCGAAACAATATTTCAAATGCAGCATTTGGTGATGCTTTGATACGACCAATTAGAAAAGCACCTTACCTCGCAAAGTACACTGTTTTTGTCGGAGCGAAGTTTTTTCGGCCGATCTTTTGTGCAGCCACTGCTGCTTGCCAAGCCATCGCGTCTACTCTATGGTATCATATCAAGCGCGTAACCATTTTCACTGTGGTTGTTGCAGCCATAGGCGCAAGAGCGCGGCTTAGCGCCCGCACAAAGCACAGAAAGCAAAGGGCGCGCTACGTTTGTTACGCAGAGCGTCGGCGAAAAATGGCACGAGAAAAAAAGAACAACACAAGAAAAGCGCAAGATCCATGCGTCTCCTAGGGCAACCGCGAAGGAGACCAATCATCGCGCAGAAAAAGTTTCAGAAACCATGAGGACGCGAAGGGGGGCGAGGAGGGAGAGTGGAGGTCGAGCGCGCGGCGGCGAGTACAGTGGATGGTGGTACTTTCCCATGATCAAGGGTTTTAGTCACTGATTTCCTTGGGAGTTTTGTGGGCTCTCCTCCTTGCACCACACGTATGTGGGCACGCACAAAAACAACCACTGACACTGGTGGACGTGTCCCCCGTTTTATGGCCCACTTTATGGCCCACTGGACGTGTCCCCCGTTTTATGGCCAAGGGTCTCGCCGTGCTGAAAGGAAGTCTGGTAAGATGCATGCTGTTACGCCTGGGAGTCCACACTGAACGTCATGGCCTCTGCAAAGGCAATCTGTGTCAAAACCAGCGAGCCAACCCACCTGACGCAATCAACTCAACGACGTCGTCAAGCAGCGCCGCCGGTCTGGCTTACGCAACGCACCGCACGGCGAGCTCCCTCAACCCACGGGCCCGATAGCAGTCCGACGATGCAAGCGGCATCATCCAGTCTGGCGAGTCTTACGCAATGCGTGGCAACATCACTCGTGCTTGGGTGCAACCCGGCACAGCGGCTCCGAATTTGAGAATCATCACGCCACCCAGCGGCGAGTCCCGATTTGAGAAAGCTGACGCCCCCAGCAGTGGTTCCGATAGGACGTTGTACACGTAATGGATAACCCGGGGTCAAGCGGCGCGTCGACAAGCAGGCAGCCGACGTATACGTCAGAGAGAAGACATCTCAGCTCTTTGAGTCCCAAGGCTGTCGGCCCCAGAGCCGAATATGTAACACCTCTATTTAGATGCTGTACATAAACCTTGCCTTAACTCACTGTCGTCTTGTCCGCTCGTCTATCAGCTCTGTGCAGAAGCAGTCGCGAGCTGAGGAACGTACGCTACCAGACGTCTGGTGACCTTGGCGGCCCGTGACCTCAGCGCACTATATATGCAACAGTGTCGGCGATGGTGCGAGTGGTGCCAGCGGCGAGTTGCGTTGCAGTGGCGCCTTCGGGTCCGTGTTGCCGTCGCGCCTGGTAACAGTGGATGTCAGCTGCGGGATCAGCCGGCGTCAGCGACATCGATGCGGTGAGTGCCTCATGTTTTCGATTCAGTTCACCAGAATACTATAGCGCAGGTTATAGTAGTTTAGCGAAGGGCTGTGTGAAGCATTAGTGAGTGAGCTTTGTTCGTTTTAAGCCAAATCGGAGCGCTTTGAACCCAAAGTTAATGCAGAGGGTGTAAACACGGCAGTGTTAAGAATTGCTTGCGCGTCTTGCTAGTCGAATTAGAGCGGGTGTGTCAAGTAGATTAGCAGGGACAAACAGCAAGGGGACAGTGTGAACGATGTCCCTTAAAGTGAAGCAACTCACCAAAATTTGTGACGAACTTGACCTTACTTTGGGCCGTGCGAAACGAAAGCAAGCGATCCTTGCTTTCGATCGATGAAGGATGAAGGGGTGACGGCTGAGGAAGTCGGTGAAGCCTGGGCGGATATCAAAGCACGCTGCGAGGGGGCTGAAAGGCGAGAGGTAGGTAGGTAGGTAATCAACTTTATTGATTCACGAAAGAATCATTTGAGGGGGGTGTGGTAGGGAAAGTGGAATCAGGATGACGACGAGCCCTCGGGCCGCTCTAGGTGGCCGGACACTGCTGTGCTTCGGCGACCCTTCTGGCCCAGCTCACTGTCCGGAGCTGTAAACCCGGTTGCGAGCTGCGCAGAGCAGCCTCCCATCGCTCCTGGTGTTCTGACCCTTGCCACGGAGGCTTGGGTTTGTTTGGACAATTCAGAAATATGTGCTGGAAGTCGGCTCTGGTGCTAGGACATAAGTTGCAATGAGGCGAGGTTTCGCCATGTGTAAAAAGGGAGAGAAGAAAAGGAGTCGTCACTGTGGCCGTTTGAAGTCTGCGCCACAAAGCCTGGTCACTTCTGGAGAGAGATTTATGTGGCGGGGGATACGTTAAGCGGGAATTTCGGTAAAATAGCGTGATATCGTGATAGCTGAGGAGTCGATCCCTGGCACCTCGAAGCGAAGGCAGGTCGCTGTGAGCCCGGTTGGCGAGTGCTCGGGCTTGGGTGTGAACGGCCGTGTTGCCTGGGTGTCCACAGTGCGCAGGGACCCAGAGGAGGGTGATGAGGCGATCAGGCGGAAGAGATGATTCAAGAATTTTAGCAGCCGGGGAATGAATTCAGAAAGTGGCGAAATTCTGAATTGCAGTTTCTGAATCGGAAAAAATATACTCAGTGGAGGAGTGAACAATGGCTGAAGCAATTGCCGCCTCCTCTGCTTCCAGGGATTCTGTCGAATTTGGAAGGGACGCACTAGCGACCAGTTTTTGAAATCCATCTACGACGGCTACCGCGAAAGCTCGATGATCTACATATTCAGCCGCGTCTACATAGACTGCGGGAGAATCAGGAGGGAATCGCTTCTGAAGGGACTTGGCTCGAGCTTCCCGTCGAGCCCGATTATGTTCTGGGTGAGTATTTTTGGGGAGTGGCGGGATTAATAGGTTGCTGCTAACAGTGACGGGAACTGCGTGCGTGGCTGTGGTGTGACCGGGAACGTTGATTCCAAGTCGGCGCAGGAGTACCTGTCCTGTTTCTGTGAGTGATAGTCTTTGATATTGGCTGAAAAGATGCGCCTCTACAAGCTCTCCCAGAGTGTTGTGCACCCCAAGTTGAAGTAGTTTATCCGTGGCTGTTGATTTAGGGAGATGGAGCGCAGTTTTATAGGCATTACGAATGAGTCTGTTAAGTTGCTCGATCTCCGTAAGTGAGAGATAGAGGTGGTGGATAGAATAGGTAATTCTGCATAGGCAAAAGGCCTGTATGAGGCGGCGTGTGTCTGCTTCCCTCATGCCACGATGACGATTGGATATGCGCTTAATGAGGGAAGCTGTATTTTGAACTGAGGTGCGGATTAACTTTATGGTGTCAGCGTTCGAACCAGTGTCGGAAATATTAAGGCCTAAAATATTGATTTTATTGACCCTGCGAATAGGGGTGTCATCAAGCATGACTTGAATGTGACATGTATCTTGCTTTTTAAAGTAAATTACTAGGAGTTACGATTTAGCCGCCGAGCAGGTGAGCCCAATATTGTTGGCGTGTTTAACAACAATTATTACGACCTAATTCTTACGACAGTTCCTGAAACAGTAAGTACCGTTCTTAACATAGATGGTTTTAGCGACCACAGCCTCCTCCAAGTAACTCTTAACATTCCACTACCTTTCTCCGGCACCGACCACAAAAATATTCGCGACTATAGTAAGGCCAACTAGCAGCCAATTTAACGCCGAACTCGAAATTTTTTACAACGACACATTCCTACCCCTTTTCGACCGTCGTTCAGTAAATGATAACTGGGTGCTGTACCGAGATAAACTATGTACACTAACTAATCAGTATGTCCCCCTCGTAAAAGTGAAAAACTATAAAACAAACCCATGGTTTACGAAATCTCTCAGGCAACTCAGAAATAAAAAGAAACGCTTATACCGCCCAGCTAAACGCCATGACACGCCCTCCGCGTGGCAGACATACAAGAATTTTATGAAAAGCTACTGCGCGGCAGTACAATCTGCTAAACTTAAATATTATTCTGTCGATCTACCTTCCCTCTTGAAATCAAATTCCAAGAAGTTCTGGTCACTTGTTTCTCCTCAACAACATGGCCAACAAATATCTTTGCTAGATGACGACCATGTCCCTCTTTCAGATAGTCATTGCACATCAGCATTTAACGCATTTTTTTCATCCGTTTTCACCCTGGAAGACCATTCCGACGTACCATACGTTCCCGAACTTGACATTGCATACATGGAACCTATAGAAATAACTGCCGAGGGTATTGCTCTTCTAGTTAATAACCTCAAGCTTTCCACTTGAGCCGGCATCGACGACATTAATTCTAAAATTGTCAAAAACACCGCCTCCATTTCTGTTAACATTTTGTATAACCTTTTCAGGCAATCTTTAGCGACAGGTCAACTCCCTTCGGACTGGAAAATTGGTAAAATAGTGCCTGTGTTTAAAACCGGTAATAAGCATTTACCCGAAAGTTACTGTCCAATTTCTCTTACATGTATATGCTGCAAACTTCTTGAACACATAATCGCTTCCCATGTTTTCCGACACTTAGAATCAAATAATTTCTTCTTTCTGAACCAACACGGATCAGAAAGGGTTTTTCCTGCGAAACACAGCTGCTAGAACTAACAACCGAGCTGCATTCCAATATGAACAGTAACCTTCAGACTGATAGTATCTTCCTCGATTTTTCTAAAGCCTTCGATCGCGTAGCCCATTGCCGTCTGATTTCTAAATTATCTGCCCTCCGATTAGACTCTCTTACCCTATCTTGGCTTCGCAACTTTCTTTCACTTCGTCAGCAGTTTACTATAATTAACAATTCCCCTTCCCCTCTTTCCCACGTAACTTCTGGCGTTCCACAAGGGTGCGTCCTCGGCCCCCTACTGTTTTTAATCTATATAAATGATCTGCCAAATAAAATATCTTCCTGCATGCGTATTTTCGCAGACGATTGCATAATTTACCGTCCTATATCATCCCCCGATGACCACTTAACTCTACAAAGCGACTTTCACCGCATTAATGACTGGTGTAACAAATGGTTAATGTCCCTGAACACGGAAAAATGTAAAATAATCTCCTTTACGCGCAAACAAAACGTTTGCACTTTCCACTACACTATCAATAATTCTGCACTATCACAGGCTTCATCCTATAAGTATCTTGGTGTCCATTTCACACCCAATCTCTCCTGGTCTCACCACATCACCACCATTAGCGCGAAAGCCTCCAGGTCCTTAGGATATCTACGCCGTAATTTACATAGCTGTCCCGCTCACGTCTGTCAACTAGCCTATCAAACCTTTGTCCGTCCCCAGCTTGAATTTGCCGCTTCTATCTGGTCCCCTTATCACAACTACTTAATTAACATGCTTGAAGCTATTCAGAATAGGGCGGCCCGTTTCATTTCACGCAATCATGACTATCACAGCAGCATAACGCAAATTAAAAACAATCTTTTTCTTCAACCCCTGAGCACTCGTCGCGACATTTCCCTTCTTTGCCTCTTTCACAAATACGTGTACACCAACAGACCCCACCCACTCCACCTCGATGTTCCTTCCATTACTTCACGTAGGTTGCATAATCACTTCAGTTTCAAGCGATTATACGGGGCAACTGATTCATTCAACTCATCTGCTCTTCCTCGCGCCATACGTTTGTGGAATGGTCTTCCAGATAACATCGCATCTGTATCAGACAATAATTCTTTCCGTCAGTTGCTGCTTACTCTCTTCTCACAATAGACTTGTCACTGTTCTGCACATTTTTTTTAGCCCGATTATGTTTGTTTCACACTGGAAATGTTTTTTGTGTATGGGCATAGGTTCTGCGTTTTTGGTGCTTTTTTTTGTTGTATGTTCTGCAACTTATAAACAAATTACGGCACGTCGTTGAGGTAAAGCCAGCTGGCTATCTTTGGTTGATGTCGCCTTCATATGCCATAATGACTGTATTCGGTTCCCACTGTCGTGTGTGCACTATAAAATTGCCTTTTCTTTTTTCTTGTTATCGCCTGTTAACTTCAACTTATATTGCAAACCGCATCATATTTTCATTGTGCTGTTACGCTTTGTAACGCGTGAATTGATTTTGTGTGATCTGTAAAACTTCACCAATTACCCCCCTTACTCAATGCCCTGTAAAGGGCCTTTAAGGAATTTTAAATAAATAAATAAACAATGTCAGCGGCCAACTGAAGCTTCTATTCGATTTCGCCATGGTTGCCAGTATTGACCCAGATGGTGATGTCATCCGCGTACAAGGAGTGATTGACGGAAGAAAGTTTGGCAAGTTCCCGCGCTAGCGGTATGAGAGTAACGTTAAAAAGGAACGGGGACAAAACCAATCCCTGGGGCGTTCCCTTGCTACCTAGCGTGAAGGGATCGGTTTTGAAAGTGGCCACCTGTAAGCATATGGACCTATTGCTGGGAAAGGCAGAGACATACCTGTGCGTGTGAGAGCCTACATTTAGTTCACTAAGAGATTG